TGTCATAGAAAGTGATCAGTTTGGCCAACCACAACCCGCCTTTTCATCAATCCATGCCATCTGGGCTTGAGCTCCTGGTTGTCCTGCATAACAGCACTCAGGAAAATGTTTTCCATAAATTGCCAGGAACTGAGGTTAGGCTGACAGGCCTGTAGTTCCCTAGATCATCCTTCTGATCCTTCTTGTAGACTAGTGTTACATGTGCTAATTTCTAGTCAGCTGAAACTTCTTCAGTTAACCAGGACTGCTGGCAGGTGATTGAATGTGTTTTGGTTCTGTCACCAGTTCTCTTATTCCTGTGGAATGGATCCCACCAGAAGACATAGACTTGTGCACATCTAATTGGCATAGCAGGACACTAACCATCTCCTCCTGGATTGTTGCAGTGTCACTCATTTCCCCATCACCAACTTCCTGCTCAAGGAGCTGGCTGTCATAAGGAAAACTGGTTTTGATACTAATGACTGAAACAAAGGCATTAAGTGCCTCTGCCTTCCTCTCACTCCCTGTCAGTACACTACCCTTCACATTCAACAAGCAATGGAGACACTCTTTGACCTTCCATTTACTTCAAGTCTTTATAGAAAAATTTTATTGTCTTTAAAAGTAGAGGCCAATCAGATCCTAGTAAGGCTTTGGCTGTTCTCCCTACATGAACTTGTGGCATCCTGGTAGACCTCCCAAGTTATCTGTCCCTCCTTCCAGAAAAAATAGATTCTCTTTTTTTATTAACCAGGCCTAATATTAACCAGGCTGGCCTTTTCCCTAATGACTTGTCTTCCTGCATATGGGGACAGCCTATTCCTGAATATTTAACAATTTCGTTTTTAAAGCATATCCATCCTTCCTGGACTCCTTTGCCATTCAGGACTGACTCCCGAGGGTCTCTGTCAATCAGTCAATCAGTTAGTTTACTCCTCTCTAAATTTCAGTCTCGCAAGTAATAATTAATGATCATTTTCACCTGGTGGTTCTTCAGGTAACTTTATGCTGACCTGAGTAGGCAATGTCAAGAAGAAATGTCACAAGTTCTCGCCTGCCATAGAAAAGTTAGAGCAACAATACTCGCAAACCATGTAAACCAGTAGAAGGAAAATGCTAGAACAAGAAAACTCTTCTGAAGGTGAATATTTGTCTTAGAAATGACAAAATGTCTGGACTCTAGGCACACTCTATACTCAGCAGCACAGATCAGTGTGTCCCCAGCCCACAAGTCTATTGCTTAGGGCCTAGGAGAGTGGGGATGCTGTTGTAACATGTGTTTTTGCTCTCTTTTTTCACATCCTCTGCATGTGTTTTTGCTCTCTTTTTTCACATCTCCAGACAAGTAAAGATCTGACCACGATGTGTCAAGGTGAGCTTAGAGTCTGACAGTATCAACACAGCTCAACTTCAAAATGCAGAGGGACACTGTATCAGAGCAGTATCCTCATCAAGTCACGGTTCTTCAGAGAATAATCATGGGCTGTTTGATATGCATCTTTTTAGACACAGGGATGTAAAATTAGAAGTTAGAGTTGATCTAAATTGCCAATGTAGTTCTATTAAGAATGCCATTTCTGCAATGAGCGCTCAACCATTTTTTAACAGAAGGCATCCTCTGCAGAGTAACTAGTTCTACATCTGAGCTCTAAAATGATTGCTCATTCATGCATTTTTCCAAAGAATGAAGGAAAACATTTAACATTTTCCAAAGTAATCACTAGAGTTAATCATAAATCATCTTTCCCACCATATACAGTTTAAGCCATGAAAAATTTTTCCTTTGAAAATGCTTAAACAACATTTTTAACTGTAAAAAATGCCTTGTTCTCTTATAACCACGAACTTCATTGGAAATTAAATCTTTCTCCCAAAATTGTTTGTTTTGACAACACTTCTTTAAAAAAAACAATATTTAAAATTAAAAGTCCCAACTGATGTTAATATTAACCATTCAAAATAATATAAAAAAGTATTTTTTGGTCTTGTTTTGTCATGTATAGGAGTATTACTGGATAGCACTTTTCTTCAACTTTTGAAAATAAAGATGCTAATATGGAACAAACATGGAAGTGGGGGTTGGCTTACATAAATACATAACATTTATCATAAGGCTGAGAAGAAACCTCCAATGAAGCATTTCTCAATTGTGAAAGCTGGAAGATTTCCAGAAATAGGGCAATTTGCTCTTCTACCTGTAAGGAGATAGTTTGGTTTTTTCACCACAAATCACACAATATTCTAAATCCTTTGCAGAGAAAGAAGCAGATGACAGGAGGAAATACTACTAACAATGTTTCACCAAGAGTTTCAAGAGTCAGAAATGCTAACACAAGCTTATTCAAAAGTCACATAATTGATTTAAAAGTTTAAGGCACTTTTACAGCCAGCATGTGTCCATTTTTCTTACATACAAGAACAAAGCCAATAATGCCAATCTATTAGACTAATGATTCTGTTATGAATCTTAAATTACTTGCTACATAGATTCCTTAAAATATGCTGATACAGTTGCAACTGTAATCATAATAGAGTGCCCATTTATAAGATAAAAATTTTACTTCAAGTAGCATAAAAACTCCAGGTCTTGTCTTGCAACTCAGTTGAACTTAGGCTCCAAACAAACGATTACAAAAGCAGGAGGTCTAGAAAATACACTCTATAATTGTATTTTGGTAAGTATATCCTGGGATCAGAAAATAATTAAATGGTTTAGGCTGTAAGGAATCATACATCACGTATTTCCAGACCCTCTGCCATGAGCAGAAAACCTCTTACTAGGCCAGGTTGAGCAGAGCTCCATCCAGCTTGTCCTTGGACACTTCCCGAATGGGGCATCCACAGCTTCTCTGGGCAGTTTCATCCAGTGTCCCTCCACCCTCACTATAGAGAATATCTTCCCTAGAGAATATTTTCCCTGTATATAGTCTGAAACTAAATTCTGTAAGTTTTTATTACCATTTTTCTTTAAGGTTTTATTGCTTCTTGTCTAATTACCACATCTTCTTATAAAAATCTGTTCCCATCTTTCTTTAAAACCCCCTTTAAGTATGGAAAGGCTGCTGTAAGGTGTCTCCAGGGCCTTCTCTTCTCCAGGCTGAACAACCCAACCCTCATAGCTGTGTCCATAGGAAAGATGTTCCAGTCTCCTGACTATTTCTGTGGCCCTCCTCTGGACCTGTTCAAGCAGGTTCATGCCTTTCCTGTACTGAGGACCCTACATTCGAGGTGGGGTCTCATTAGAGTGATTTAGAGGAGCAGAATCCCTTCCCTCATCCTTCTGGCCACACTGCTTTGGGTTTGTTTTGCTGGGCTGCAAACCCATGTTGTAGGCTTTCCTTTAACTTTCCATTCCACCAGCGCACCCAAGTCCTCCAAAGGGCTGTCCAAGCAGACACTGACCACCAACTCCCTAGGTGTGACCTAGGGAGATGGTCAGACAAATTCAGACAATTTCTTAGAAACCTTACAGTCCACGCATTTAATTCATATCTTTAAAATTTAGGGAGAGGGATTTTGTGGAGTACTCTGTCAAAGACCTTACAGAAGAGTAGCTGAATGACATCCACAGCCCCTCCTTTGTCCACTGATGTAGTAACTTCATCACAGAAGGTTTGCTGTTTTGTTCAGGCAGTTCCTTCCCTGGTGAAGAAGTGTCTACTGTCTCAAATCACCTCCCCATCCTCCAAGAGCCTTAGCAGAGTTTCTAGGAGGATTTTTTCTGTGAATTATTGTATTAATAGAGCGTTTCCTCCAATATCAGTGCTCACAACCAGAAGTATAGAGGAAAAAATTACTTCTGTGCCAGCTCTCCTTACCAGATATCCCAAGGCCCAGAAGTGTCTCTTGATCATCTTTGAGCTACATGTTGCAGCATCATCACTGCCCACATGGAAAAGCAATAATGGAAAATAGTCTCAGGGACATACCAAGTCATGAAGTTTCCTTGGAATTGCTATGAATTATGGGATAGAAGAATGGCTGTAAAAATAGAAGCTTTCTCCATAGGAAGACTATTAACAAATGTTTAGTTTATGTACATGGGGATCCTTCAGTGTAGACTATCCAAACCCTAATCTGTTCATTTATATTTTGTGAAAATTCTCTTACCTTCACAATTCTACTCTACATCTCCTAGATACTGTTTCCTTTTACCTAGTTAGATTCTTTTCACTACCTCTTTGCAAGTTTATCCTTTCCAAAATTACCTTACCTTCTAAAAGGATAAATCTATAGACTTTCAACCCCATATTTCACATCTGTTATTTCCCTTAATATTAAAAACTCTCTGCAGGACAGACCATCCTTTCTCTGCTAGATATGTTTTGTTGGTGTCTTGGTATTGCTGCAGCAAATTAGTTATCAAAAACAGGGGAGCATAGTATTTTTGTGAAAAGAATAAAATTCTCTCTATTTACTCAGTTCCTGTGCTTGGTGGAAATTTAAATGTAAATAAATACTTCATTATTGCCTTCCAAGTAAATATAGTGATAGGTATGCTAGGGCAAAATACAGTTTTCTATGTGGCATAAATGAAAATATATGAAAGTACAAGTTCTGCTTCCAAAGAGTTTGCTTTTCCATTAGGTAAATTTTTTTCCTTTCTTTAAAGTCAGATTAGGGATAAAAATCCTCTCCTTTCTCTCTAGCAATCTTGAGGTAATCCTGCAGTTTCATAATTTTTCTGAGAGATATTAATGAGTTATTAATCTCACTAATGGAAGAATTCATCAACATCAACTTAACTGAAAAAAAGGAAAATATTTGCACTGGGTTGTAATGGAAATTCTGAAAACAAAAAGCTTAGCTTTCCAGATTTGATTTCAGTTCTACTGGGACAAGAAAACAGTGATCTGCAGCACCACTTACCTCCACTTACAGTGAGCATACCTCCTAGGGAAGCGAGATTAGATGTGGTCTGAAGTTAATTTTCTGAGTAGGTACAGAACTAAAGTGAAAATTCAGAAAAACAGTGCAGAACAAGACAAAAGACATTCCTTATGGAAATCAAACCGTACTTCAAGACAGACAACTTCTTTTTCATCTTCCATGGCTTGTTTCGTAGCGTGGCAATCAGTTTCTTTTTTTCTTCTACCTCTTCTTTCAGTTTGGCCAATTCCTCCTCTGTAATTGGCTCCTCCTCAGATTCAGAATCAGAGCTTCAAACAAAAGCAGGAACAAAAAACATCACCAAAACTCAGGCAGGACAGATGTTTTCACAGAAAAACGTACTTTGTGTTAATTTCTGTTAAATTTGAGGCTATACTAACGCTTTCACTCTTGCACAGAAGGGAGGACACCCTTCCTTTAGATTTGTTATTAGTTTTAGTATGAAAGGCACAGCCTGCATACAAAATGCAGAGCTGGGGGACAGTGAGCAGCACTCTTGAGGTAAAATCTGACAGTCACTTATTGTTTCTTTTGGTCAAGTGAGGATGCTCTAACTACAGCCATAAAAGCAAACTCCTTCACCTCAGTATGTCACAGTAGAGAGACAAATGACAGCCCATGCACTGAAAAAGATGATAATATTTCATAGATGAGAAAAAATTCAAAGCCACATTTCAGCAAGCATTCAAGGAAAGGAGGTGCAATTGTAATGGCATCTCCAGGTATGTTGTGTCTGTGATCTGAACTCATTATCCATATATCAGTTTGTTGTATCTTTGCAAAGAATTGTTGATTAAAAAGATATTCACATTTCTAAATTCTGCATAGATACCATGTCTTTGAGCAATCTTGCATCTCATCTAATGGCATTTAGCAATTCATTGGCAACAAGTGTTTCCTCTTTTTATGCAAGTGAATAGAAAAATTATAAAAAGGAAATAAATAGACTGAATTTCTGTCCTAAAAAGCTGACAGTGACAACTACCACTAAGTGATCTCTTGATGACAGCAGTTTGATGCATTTCTGTCTGTTCTTATTGTGCTTTCTTTCGCTTCTTTTGTTGATCTGCTTGCCTGTTTCTTTGACTTATGAATGTTTAAAACTGTACTGAAGATTTTTTGGGGTTTTTTAATGGTTTTTTGGCTTGATTAGAAAAAAGAAATTCTGACTTTATCAAGCAAGTAGTTTTCAGGCTCTTTTGCTCATACTTCACCTTTCTGAGAATTTGATATCCAAGATATGAGAACTGAATTATTCATTACCTAATGTATAGGTTCTATCTCCTGAAAAATTTAAAAATTATAGAACTTTTCCTCTACCAAAACAGGTAACACATTTTTAGAGTTCTAAATGGCATAAATGACTCAAGAGTTTACCAGCAAGAATACTTGAAGGATTCAAAATAAACAAATAAAATCAAAATACTTTTTGAAACACAGAAAAATACAAGTTTGTTATTGGTCATCTGCCTATGGTCTTCATTAATTTTACTTAATTATAGGGAAAGATTAGGGGATGAGCTGAAAACTTTCAGACTCACAGAAGTTAGCAAAGGAAAGAAAGAGGCTTCCACAGCTATAGGTCGCCTTGTTCTTAAAGGTTAAAATCCTATTTAATATCATAGAGCCATAAAATCACAGAATGGTTTGGGTTGGAAGGAACCTCAAAAATTTTCTCTCTCTAACCCTCTCTGCCATTTGCAAGTATGCCCACTAGATGAGGTTGCTCGGGACCCCATCCAGCCTGGCCTTGAACACTCCCCAGCTGTGGAGCACCCACAGCTTCTCTGAGCACTTGATCCAGCACTACACCACACTCTGAGTAAAGAATTTCTTCCTAACATATAATATAAATATGTTCCCTTTCAGTTTAAAACCTTTGACCCCTGTTCTGTCACTGTCTGGCCATATTAAATTTCTTTCTCCCTCCTTTTCATTAGTTCCCCTAAGGCAGATCTCCCCAGAACCTTCTCTTCTCTAGGGTGAACAATTGCAATTCTCTCAGCCTGTCCTGTAGGAGAGGTACTCTAACCCTCTGAGCATCATTGTGGCTCGTACAGAATAGACTGTCACCTTAGAAAGTTGTACCCATCAGTCTTACCATGATGGACTTTACACAGCAAAAGACAGTATCACAGAAAGCTTGAAGCTACATGAAGAGAAACTGCTACTGAGAACCACAACTATTTATTGGCATACCAGTATTTTGAAGAGCAAGTTAAGAATGGCAAGAAAACTGAAGTAAAATGGAAAAGGGTTAAAAAGTGATTTTTGCATAAAATTTTGAGAGAAAATGCAAAGAGAGTCATGTTTTAATGATGAACAGAAGGATTAAAAGTCGGATTTGAGAGAGCTCAGAATCCATTGTCACAATCAGCTGTTCTCCATTTTACTAAGCGGAGTGATGTGCCTGACATTAAACGTGTCCTTTGATGGAAGATTGCTGGGTTATACAAAGCTGGAATTTGCTGGTTTACAGCGCTGCAGTGAGAGAGTGGGAAACATGAAGGCTTTGTGCTAATGTAGTGAGCTTACTGAGAAAAGGAAGCTTAACAGAACACAAGAGGTCAAGCCAGGATAATGTAGGCTTTGTGCCCTTTGCCAGCTACTGCTTTGTTTGTCTTGACAAACATGTCTCATCTTCCATTCTTCACTTTCCTTTGGAACCAGAAAAATAACAAAAAATCCAAATTCTAGAGTTTGTTTAAGAAACCAGCATTTCCTAGTGTGTCTACATTATGCAGCCAAACTTGGTGGAGTAACAGCAGAGTTTTCCTTCAGCTCAAGTGGTGGAACACCATGTTATTTAAGTCAGGAAACCAAAATTTTCTCTTCAGCATTAAAAAGTCTTAGCCTTTCATGAAAGGTTTTTATTCACCCGTTTGAAGGTCAGAAGGGTTCATTGTGACCTGAGGCTAACATAAAGCATCAAGTGTCAATAAATATCTTGACATAAAGACCTCATCCTCCTTGGCTCCAATTCAATACACCAATTCAATACACATCTAAGTCAGTAAAGTTCTTGAAATCAAGTGCTTCTTTCAAGCTGAACACACAACAAGTTTCTTCATTCTAGTTTGGTTTTATGGCCTTATTATACATCTCTATTTTGGTTTTAGTTTCATCTCATTTTTATTGATGTAATCTACTTTTCTCATGATTTCTGTGTATAGCATTAAAAATTAGGAAGAAAATGTTTTCTTTGAGATAGGATGTTACATGATAAGACTGGTAAGACTTTGAGAGTATAGCATGGCAATTTAATAAATTTTACTAAATTTGAAATCTTTCCAGTTTTTTTGTGTAAATTCTATTTATACAGATAATCCCCATAGCATTGCCTGTCAGTTAATACTATTCAGTTAGAAAAAAGTAGTGTCTTAATCTTCCATGTACCTCCAAGCTTTCGCAGAAGTTTTATACTCTCAAGCAAACTTAATAAAAGTCAATTTAATCACAGATAGAGCTATGCAGTAGGAAGAATATGATCCCATTCTGGTTTTTTTTAATGTGACAGCACGAAGTTTCTAAAATCAATCAGAGAAAATGAAACAAAGCAGTAAAGAACTAAATTATTTTTTAACCCATGAACACCTCCAACCCTCATAGTGAGATAAAAGGAACTAGTTATCATTGATATTTTGGTGTTGATGATTACAAACAGGGTAAAGCAGGCTCTCCTCACACCCTCAATAACAGGCAACAATCAGCCTCATCAACAACCATTAATATCTAAGAACAGAAGATATAAACTCACCGAGAAAGAACTGCTTTGATCATGGCATTACCCTGGGAAACTCACTACCACAAATTAACCAAGAGTGGAATATTTAAGTTTTGAAAAAACAAAATAACTAAACCAGACAACCAACTCAGAGTTCTTCTAGGATTCCCTTATGTCCTTTATGTAGAATAAGCAGTGCATGAAGAGGTTTTCCTGATTTAAATGAAAAGTACAGCGGGGCAAAAAGGCAACTGCAGCAGATTCTATTGACTTGCACTGTGATCGCACCAAAATGGGGCATGTTGCTAGAGTTTAGCAAAAGCCACCATGACAGCAGTAAATATCATATTATCTCTCTGCCAAATAGTTCCACTTTTCATTTAGGGAAATTTTTCTTGTGTCTTCTTTCTCATCTTCTGATTTCACTGTTTTCTTGCTGTTTCATGCTGAAACACTTTGGCAATTAAAAAACTGCATCAGCAAGGTCTATGCTTAAGCAGTATAGAGAAATTGTTAATTTAAAAACTGCATCAGCAAGGTCTATGCTTAAGTAGTATAGAGAATTTGTTGTGATAGGTCCTCCCAGACTTGCTAGAGTGGCTGTATTTCTTCTATACTGCCAACCTTACTTTCCATTCTGAAGTCTTACAAACCCTTTATCTCAATCACAGCCAAACTGATCACCAGCCTGCTATCCTTCATTCTTACATTATTTCGTTTTTTCTTTTGAAAATATTTTAAAATATTCTTATTATTCTTCAATCTTTTCAGAAGCTCCTATAAGTCTAAAAATATAATACTCTTGAGTTATCTTTGAGACTGTCCTCAGTATTTCCTCAAATGTTGTTAGGCTTAATACTTTAGGATCAAGGCAGCAATTTCAAGTTATTTCGCCCAAAATTATGTATTTTAATATTTAAAACTTTGGAAGACAATGAAAAACACTGTGCCCTTTCTCAGTTTTCTATTTTAAGTGTCCTTTTTTAATTAACACTGTGTAAATGTTTACAATGAAGACAAAATTAAGCGAAGGAACACAGTCAGAGCTGTTGCTCTGTGAGTACAGAATACTGCACACAGGAGTATTATTGCCATCACAGTGAAGAGCCAGCAGAAAGAAAAAATTTAGGGCTTCTCATTCTCATTGGGAAGTGAAATTAAGTAGAAAGGTATGGAAATGGGATCACGGACAAATTAATACAACAGCATATCTTACTGTATATTGTCCTTTTAGTCCTGCTGTGCTCTCCAGTGATGCCTCTGGGAACAGAAACAGCTGTAACAAGTGATGACTGAGGAATGGGAGTTTCTCTCCCTCTCCATTGAGATAGCTCCATTTGCTCCCTTATAAGTGGCTCCCAGGGTTGCTTCCTTTCAAAAGCACAAGAAGGGACAAGGAGCAAGGGAATGCTAGGATGGCAGAGAAGTAGAAATGTTTTTCTGAAGGGCTCCCTGTCACTGGAGTCTTATAAAGACCCCAAGTTGCATTAGATACTTTGGAAATTTGAAAAGTGACTTTTCAGAGGAAGTGAGTGGGAGGCAGATTGGAAAATCCCATTTTAGTTTTTGGTTCCAGGTTCTTGAAATTTGGGCACAGATCTCAATGAACTGGCTCAAAACTGGCTGGGAAACAGGAATATGATCTTCTGAGAAGCATCAAGATTTTAGTTCTATACTGGAAATAAAACTTGGCTTTCTGGGAAGGTAAGCAGCTTGGAGTTTGTGGCATTTTAGTTTTGCAAAAAGAAAAAAGCGGCGCAGATTTCACCACTTTCTACCACCTCTACCACTTTCTCTTCTCCTCTGTCATTTTCACTCCCTTTCCCTAGAAAGCAGCTCATATACTTGGAATATAACAAGATATTACTTTACAGAAAGTTTCCATTTCACTCAGCTATGATTTCTTCATTGCAGGACAAAGTATATCTGTCCAACTCCAATCTGACTGTCACAAGTAAGGAAGTCATATTGACTCTTGGTATTTCTCAGCTATAAGAGAAAACAGGTCTTATGTAGGACAACTACAGTCTTATTATAAGGAAAAAAAATTAATTACCCTGATCCTGATTTCTTTTTGTCTTTTTTCTTCTTGTTGGCCTTCTCTTTTTTCCCTTTTTTATCAGACTTTTTGTCCCCTTTCTTCTCATTTTTACCTTTCCCACTTTTACCCCCTTTCTCATCTTCGTCTTCTTCATCATCTTCCTTGGATTTCTGATTTGCTTGATTCTTCTTGGATTTTGCAGGTTCCATATCAGAATCACTGGCCTCATTTCCAGCTGCTCGTCCTCGTCTACGGCTTCTGTGCCTACGAGGCCCAGCTCTCCTCATCCCACCTTCATCATCGTCATCATCTTCATCACCATGCCTGTCTCTCCCTCTGGCATGTGCTCTTCTAGGTCTTGGTGTTGCTCTCTTTTTCCCTTTATCTGTGATTGATTAAAAAACATAAAAGCACATGAGAGGAGGGTGTATGTTAGAAGGAGATATTTCCTCCTCCTTCATTCTTAGTAATAATCAGAAAACATCTGTGCCTAGCATCAAAGTAATCCAGGTCACTGACCTGTTCCTTTGGCATTTTCTTCATTCTCAACTGCACTGCCTTCTTGATTGTCATCACTACCATCTGTCAAGTGAAAAAAAAGAAGGGCAGTGGATATGAAGGGTAGATCAATCATTAGAAATTCAGAGGTTTCAAGAAATTCTTGGCAACTACTGTTTTGTACCTCTTTACAATATTTTATGAAGCCGGCCTTTCGAAATATGGCAAACAATTTTCAAGAGGTAAGATGAAGACAGAAAAACCAGTTACACTTCCCTTCAGCACTCAAATAAATACACCTCAAAGGGACACTGGGAAGAACTCTTGCTGAAATTAAAGAACTTGCAGAAATTAAAAAAATACTAAAAGAATAATTTTCTGATTTCACTGGAGGGCATGTAGCTCCAGACTTGCAGCATAGCTGAAGAGTTCCATTCCTGAAGAAAGAGGAGGTTCCAGCAATCAAATCTCTAAGCACAGGGAGAAACCTTGGTCAGCTCACTTCTACGTTCTACCACATACAAGTTCTATTCTACCACTCTACCACACAAGGTGTTTTTAACATTGCAGGCTTTAGAGGGATAGTCTATTTTTAGAAAATTGTAGTGTTTCTCCTTAGAAACGTCTTGCTTAATTTTTCATTCTCAATCATTCTCAATAAGCTCTAAGCTCAATGAGAGACAATGTCTGTGCTACCTATCAATAAGCAGAAAATTATCCACTTCATTTGCCTGGTACACTTTGAAGCTGTGATCATGGATTTATAAAGAATAAACTAAATAATAAAAATACTCTCATATGTATTATATCCATCACAATATCTAATTAATATTTAAATAATGTGGGTTTTGAATACATTGGTATGAATATATCACTTAACTTGTAAGTAATCTGAAACTGCTTCTGAAACTGCTATTGATATTCCCTAGGAAAGATTCTTCGGAAGAAATATCTGAGAAGCCAAGTTCTAATGAGTCCTTCTGAGGTATTTTTGAGCTTGTGTGTGTGGCTAAACACTTTAGACACTTTGGTGGTATTTATAGAAATAGGTGGTAGTAGGAAATTACTGAGAAGACTAACAGTGATTACCATGAAACAGTAGAAGTAGCTAGTAGTTGTCCCACTAGTATATAATGTGTATGTTCCATGTATATATTGTCCAGTTTCCCCTCTGGACAGGTGATAGGTGCTGATCCTCAAGGTAGCGTTTTTTAGGTAAGAAACTGCAGCATCTTCCTTTTTCAGTCATCTCTAACATCTCTGAATTTTTCTTTATATTCTTTCTTCACACATTTCCTGGTCGCCCAGTTTCTCTTATAAAATTTAGTAAACCACTACCAATTAATTGAAAATTTATACACAAATTGATTTATTTAGGGACTGCTATGGCTAACTTCTTGACTTTGCCTAGTATCAAAGAAAAAGACTAAAATGAAGAGTATGTCAGGCTGCAACCAAGAAGGAGTCCATGGTCTTCCTTCACTATGTGCAGTAACAGGCAAAGTTTTATTAACCAGAATTTAACTGGCACATTAAAACTGAGTCTAGCTTCCCTACACAAAACATCTAATTTTAATTAACACTTTCTATCAGTCTGACAGCATCTGCACCATAATTTTTAAGTTTATGCAAAAATATTGTCATTCGATATCATCATTGGAATGTGACTATAAGTGCTTCTTTGTTCTGCCTGGACACATGCCTTCTGCTGCTGACAGTAACAGGATCTCTGTTGATAAAGACCATTGTGCTGCTATTGAAAGCTTGCAAAGATGAAGACAAGCACTTCTAAAGAGATACTTCACATGCAACGGTAGGGCACTGCCTATTATCAAAACAGATGCTGTGGCTGATCTCCTATGGAAAAACAGGAATTCCCAGGAAAGAAATTTATTGGTTGCACAGCAGCCTCAGTGTACCCTGATGAGCCCATACAACAAGCAAACAAATGGAAGTTTATCATATATACTGAAAAATGCATCAACAGTGAAGCAAGCTTGAGTAGTTGTCATATTGACATAACGAGGAAAGTGACAAGGGATTGTGAGACACAGAGACTTAAACTTAAGGCTCTTAAATTCTGCTTAAAGGTAGAAGATATCTGCTGGAATCTGTTTAATTCTAGTAGCATAAGGATAGCAAATTCACTACACTGAAAATTTGAGATAAAATTCCAAGGTAATTTACAGATTTCAGACTGCTTGGAAAAAGCATTGAAAACATTGCTATGGGTGAGTGTATCTGAATATTAAGTTCTGTATGCTAATAGTTTTTTTCATCTGAACTATCAGGCACCTGAGTAATAAAGGATAACTAAAAAAAAAAATAAGGAAAAAGCCAAAAATCAAACAGAAATAGATATTGCCATAAAACAAACCTAGAAAGCATGACCAGTGATTACATGGGGCTATCAGCTAAAAATGGGTATTATGGACATGCCCAGCAAGCACTAGTGCACCTTCAAAATTTCTGTCCGCAAAGATTTAAAATTGTATCTCCAAACTGAACTTCATATGGAAACAAAGTATGTTAGCATGAAGACTGTTCAAGGTGTACCCTTCTCACTCTGGCACATCTTTAGAAAAAGACACCTCTTCCAGGTCATAGGTACACGCAGAGAGCATTTTGCTGAAGCTCAAGGTAGAACTAAGAGTTATTGTGACAGCACTGATAGCAGTGGTGCTGTGTAGAAGAGAAAAAAATATCTGAGGAGAAGGAATGGAAGAGCTTTGTCAGCCGTGAGAACTGTGCTGAACCACATTTATGTATGGGTTCATGGAAGCTACACAGCCACCCCTTGCTGCTCCCACATTGCAGCTATTCCATGTACTTCAGACAAGCTGCATGAACAACTTTTGTGTCTGATTGTTTTGTACTTATTATTGAAAGACCAGTGTTGATAATTAGCTGGGTACTTGAGAAATAAGATAAAAACTATTATTATTATTATTATTATTATTATTATTGTTGTTGTTGGTTTTATTATTATTATTATTATTATTATTATTATTATTATTATTACTACTATTATTATACTATGTCAGGTCATAAACTCCATTATACTTTTCAAAGAGGAAAGGAACAGGCTATGCAGCTCACAATGCAGCAATTGTACGCAACTAGTGCTTGTGTAAAAGCATGTTCAAATGAATTACCAGAGAAGCATTTCTACAATGTTCAAACACAGATAACGCTTTTGATGACACTATATCTAAATGCGGTTTAGTACTTAATTTAAATGTGCTGCTGTAAACCACAACATAGACAAACAGTAGAGTTCATCCTCAGGCACTGTCTTTTGATCCTATGGGGGGCCAAAATGCATTTTTTTTATACTTCACTTTGTAAAATTGCAGTATTCGTTGCAGAAAAAAAAATCCTCACTATATGAGAAATTTGTAAACTAATCTTGGGAATTTTTAAACAGATCATATGATTCGACTTATGAAAAGTTCAGTGAGTCCTCCTGTAAAAACAACTAAGTGTCACAAAAGCACTGTCTAGAATTACCAATTTTTCCAGAAAAGGGTTGATAGAACCCCTTATCTTCACAGTGTTAATATTCATAGGCTAATAGCAGCCTTTGACTCAGCTAACTTGAGTTAGTCTGACTCAGAGCAAAAGCTCAGCTGCTACACCTTCCAGGATACATCATCTTGTCCTAAAGACTGTATACTTGCATATGCATCTTTAAGTATATTTGAAGATATAGTCCATAACTCCTTGTAGTCCACGAAATCCAATCACATTTTTATTTTTTTTCCAAGTAGTTTAAGGGAAACTTTCTCATCTTTCTAGATTAAGGGCAGTGATAGTGTAATCTAAGTAAGCTATCATTTTACCCCAAGTCTTATTTAGACTATAGCCATAAATAAGACTACAAGACTTAAAGAAGGTGTCCTGAATATGGGCTCAGACCAACCTGCAAGTCACAGACACAAGGCAGAATATCAGACAGCTCAGGGAGAGGGCTCTAAACATTGACATGTTGGCTGCTGAGGAAAGTAAGGGTAGGAAAAAAATGCATAACACTCTAGTCTTTGTTCTATCAGGTGTCTGTTTAGCAGATCATGAGAATAGTTTTCCCTTTACCTTGATTTCCCAAGTCGTTTTTATACCTTCTATCAGAAGCTATTACCCAGATTTCATGCTTTGAATTTTTTTAAACTTATTCTACACTGACATTGTTTTATGGACTTTTCACTGTGAGAGGGATAATAATTCTTGAAACTAACTCATAGAACATGGCCCACTCCTGTAATATCTGTGCTCCCACTACTACTGTGTAAAGCTGAATGCTGCTAAGCAATTCTGCATTTTGGTGCTGCAAAAAACTCAGTGGAATGCAAAGTAATCAAAAATGCTGCCTGACTTTTTTTGTACATATTATAAAAACATATTTCTACTTAATTAAGTGTCAAGACAATGAAATGGATCATCTGCCAACAGAGACCTGTAAGCAACTACTGTGTTTGTCTCTAAACTGGACCATGTCCTTTAAGTATTGGAAAGACATCAGCCTACGTAGATAATAAACTTAGTGTTCAACAAGAGGAAATGTCAGAAATGCAAGACTGTATTAGACAATAAATGCCTGGCAAGTACTAGTCAAAAAAAGGTAGTGTTATGTAACACTCATTTCTATGTATTTACATACATTTCTAAATTATTCTTTCTAATCATGCTTATATGAGAGTATCTCACAATAAATATCACTGGAAGTAACAATAAATATCACTGGAAGTAACACCTGTGAAATACAACAGAAATAATATATCACTATCACAGGAAGTCTATTGGAAAAGTGAATTAGTGAAGGCTTCAACATGTAAGATTTGTGACCTTAACACTTGAGACCCCATCCTCTTAGTGTCTTTCCAGACTTTGGGAAGAACACCTTGGCTCACTTGGGCACAAAAGAAGAGAGCTTGAAACACAGAAATCTCAAATTAAAATTACATTTATAGAGCAACCATAACGCTCAGTATTTCAGACTATGCTTTATTTTTTCTCTGTTTTTTCCCAGTGTCACAAATTTTACTTCCAATGAACAAACATAACAATCACACAACGCAACTCAAAAAATGCATCCTGACCAGCAATAGTTATGAATTTATAAAGTAAAATAATAATCATTATTCAGTTACACACAAACTGGCTACTATATTGCTTGTTTTATTCATCAAAATTGGCAATATCATAAACACCAAAGTAAGTGGAATATTTATGCTTCTATGTCATAAGAACACCAGGGTCTTGGAAGACTTACTGGTCTTAATGTACAATGTTGTGCCCTGCAGGCCTATATACCTGAATTGTTTCCAGAAATTGTCTCTGGGGCAATGAGCTTTCCCTCTGCAGGAAAGAAAATTTGCCCACCTAATATTTGAAATGTTTTAAATCAGTGTTTGAAAACTACAACTGGAGACCACAGGGAGCAAATGAAATTCATTCAATTCACATCCATAAATAGCTTATTTCTTCTCCTTTTGTAAGAAAAAATTACTGATTTTCTACTGAAAGGCCAGAGACTGAGCTCACATAGGTCATGTTGACACTGTAGCTATACAGTATACATCACCTGATTGCGCTCTCTTTCTCCCCAGCTTCCTGCTGGGCTGTACTTACACATGGCAAGGTTTGATAGCTGTCTCTCAGTCTGAGGGTCAGGACTTCTTCTAGGCAAATCCTCCCCTCAGGGATAAACGAGTTGTTTATTGCATTTTTTCAGTGCAAGGATTCTGAAATCTGATATTATTGTTATAAAGACAGATCAATGAGAAGCCCCTCAGTATTTCACCCCCTTCAGGGATGTGTGTAAAAGTTTCCAGGCCTCTGCACTTCACTTCATCTCTGTGTTCTCCAGGCCTCTGCACCTCACTTCATCTCTGTGTTCTCCTTTCTGTGCCCTACAAAGGTCTAACCTTGGGCTTCTTCTCCTTATCCAAGGCTAATGAGCTGACCAGCTCACCAGCTTGCAGGACACATTGGTTACTGTAGTAAAACAAGATGCAGCATTTGCACTTGGTCTTCATCACACAAAGAGGCAGTGGTGGGCAATTTTCCATTTTCATTCCAGGCTTTACTGCAAGAATTAGGATCAGAATATTAAGTGTTCAGTGCACCCTGAGGAAAAAAGACTGAGACTGCAATAAACCATACCAATCTGGCCTTTTCCAGTTCTGAAATGGGATTTACTTAGCTCATTGTCATTCATTTATAATGCTATTAAAATGGAAAGAACACATATGTATATGGAGAAAAGAGTTTGCATTCAAGTTATAAATGAAGGGTTCTTAGCGGATATGAAGGCAATTGTATTTTTTATTATTCATGAGAAGAAAAGTCTTTTAAGGTTGATAACTAGAGCTGACCAGCTCACCACATATTCTTTTTACTATATTTAGAGGGTAATAGGTACTTTCCAACTGCTCCCTTTTAAATATCCACTATGAAGATTTTTGACCTAGGTTGTCTTTTCCTGTATGAGATGCCAGGAACAATGAATTCACATTCATTAACTCATCATAATGAGTTCATGAATATGAGTTCATGAGTTCAATCATAATAATAATACATATCCTACTATCTTAGATTTTACAGCAGACATGCTGTGAAACATGGAGAATCACCAAATCAAGAATGGTTTCACTAGAGATAAAGATACCATAAAGCAAAAATGCATCATTTGAAACTGTTGCAAAAATATTCCTCGAGACTCTCAGCAGTGATGACATAAAACCTCCTATAAAGAAACTGCAACTATCAGAATCAGCTCCTGAACTCTGTGCTATATAGCTCCAGCCCCTGGACGTTTTAACCTAGGAGTGGATCGAGAACTACATTGTGAAATTGTCTCATGGTTACTTTTAATGGAGGTTCAGCTTTTCATATGTTCTGAAATCATAATACAGTCTTAAGCTTACCCACATGATCTCATCTCCAAATACACGCACAACTGTCATTGCTATGTTTTACTGTAAATTATATGTACAAGATAAATTTCCATGGAACAACGAGAAGTGTCAAGGAGTGATCATGATTCAGCAATAAAAATCTTCAACTTCTCCACATAAAAAGTGTGCAGTATTGGCTTGCCATGGGAATGATATCCTCTATTATTCAAATTAATAATACAATCACTGAATTAATACAAGTCGATTCAGTCAGGTATTTTCAAGTAAAATGCAGTTGTTAATGGCAAACTTAGAGGCTTGTTAGTCATAAAATTTATTCATTATAAATTCTTATAAAAATATGTATGTTCTATGGTCATGCTCATAAGGTTTCTTATGGAGATAAACATTCTGTTTTAGCCATTAAAAATTTTGCCTATGCTGCATTAAATTCTGTGATTACCTCATGTTAAAATGAGTTCCATTAGCATATACTGCTTGAAAATTAAATTGGTCAGTAAAGGGGTGTTGTAGAAAAAAAAATGAGGTGGAGAAAAATAAGAGGATCTCAGACAACAAAAGGAAAGCAAATAAGATGGAATTTTAAAATGAACTGCTTTCTATATTCTGTCAAAATGCTCAGCAGTCCCTTCTGATGTTTTCTATTGAAGCAGAATATATTTTATTAATACTGAGTGTTATAGTTATGGATTAAAAATCTAGGAAGCCTTTTTTAGTAATAACAGCTCTGGTACTTAGCAAAACCTAAAGAATAAGTGCCTTATTTTCTCCCATGCTGTAGACAAGAAACAAATTTCTCCATGCTGAAGACAAAAAACATCATGCATACAATACAGATCCTTGCTTTAGAAAGAGTAGCACTGCTCATGAGAACCGAGAACATTTTCTCCTATTAGATTTCCCTTGCACATCACCAGAACAAGACATCAGGCATTATTATCCTACAAAAAAATTTCTTAGATCCAGAATAGTGCAGTATTAGTATAGAAATACTGTTAATCTGACTCTGTAGAATGTTTGACATTTCATAATAAATATAGAAAGCAGTAAGAAAAAGAGGCAATTTTTATGCACCTTACAGAAGCCACAAAGTAACACTGTTTTCTTAGTATTTCCTACAAACTACATGTAGGAACTACATGTACATATAAGACAAGTAACAGGGCTGTAGTCACAATCTTTTGATTTACTAATCAGTGGAAAGAAACACTATCATGCTCCAACTAGTCAACTTCCAAATAAAACACATTTCTGAACAAAAGATAATGAATTGTGACTAACAAGATTTTATATTAAAAAGAAGTAGAAGAAAACAGAATTTTCACACTATTGAGCTACATGCAAAAAATGAATATGTGCTTAAGTTGCATAATGATATTTGCAATTACCGTTTCCTTCTGCTGACTTGTCCTGTTTAGTCATTGTGATGTTTCACAGGGCTGCTGCAGGTGCTGGATATACAGAAGAGTGTCTGAAGGCTGGGTGGTTCAAGATGAAGCATCCCACAACATCATCCTGCCTGTCATTGAACGGGTGGCGCTGGTGAAGTTTCACTCACTGAAATATAAGAAGATACTAATTTCGTAAGTGATAAATCTTTCATGAGTGTTTAGTTTACTATTTAGGTTTAGCATACTAGGATTAAAAGAGTCAAAGAAGTTATTAATTTTCTTTATTCTTATTGCTGAAAAAGGTCTTTTGCAATGTGCTTACCTATGACAAACACAGGTTTAAGTGCTTAAGTGCCTGTCGTGGGGTGACAGCCTTTATCCCAATATCGTGTGTTATGTCTGGCAGCTGTGC